CGTGCCGATGAGGGGGAGCCTGTCCAGAATGACACCAACGATGTTGTTGTTTGAGTTCTTGATAGCCATTTAAAACTAATAAGTGTCTCTGTTCACCAAACAATAAAAAAAACACAAAAACCCATCTGTTATGGAAACGAAAGTATCGCAAAAGTATTCTAAAAGTAATCTGATCGGGGGTTACTTTTTTACGACACGTACTGTAACTGTATTTTCTGGTACTTTCAGGCATATTCAGTATTCCGCTAACTGATTACATTTACAAAATGTAATCCCTCCACCGGTCAACACTTTCAATTCTGGGCTATATAAATGCTGGGGTGGTTGGCCCGGGCGATGTGTTATTGGATACATTTTGGCCCTTGGACAAATGTAGTTGGTGATCCCTGCGTTAGACCATAGTGGTAGACTCATCAGAACAGAGTGGGCGAGCTGACCAATCAGAGCACACTGGGCTCACAGGGAGGGGGGAAGGGGGGGGGGGGCAGGAGCTCCAACAAGCCGTTTAGGACAGAGAGTGAATACACATACTATACAGAGATGCTGTATGAGAAACCAATGTGAGTTTGGAACATTGCAAAATATAAATCTATTCTAGTAGACCTCAACAATGTAATTATGATCAGTAGAAATGGCCATGATATGGGACCTTTAAGATCTAAATCTAAATCTCACCTTTTTACATGATACCTGGAATCAAAGTGTAAATATGTATATGTGTGTTTTTTACAAGGGACTATTCCTCAGCCAGGAGTTTTACCGCATCTCTCTTTATAAAGTTGATGATTGGAGTATTCTTAATGTGAGAATCTGTAGAAAAAAAAAATCCCCTGTTTGAAATTCTCGTAGACCTTCAGTCCCCAAACTCGCACCGCCCTGTCGTTCCACTGCATTGTGTCCATGTAAAGTAAGTAGTAAAGCCTTGTAGTCCTAATAACATCCAATTTTAAGCCCTTCACATCCATTACCAACAATACAATTACCCCCCCCTCTCTCTGTCCCTCACACACACACACACACACACACACACACACACACACACACACACACACACACACACACACACACACACACACACACACCACACACACACACACAACAACCACACACAACACCAACACCAACACAAACAACAAAACACTGCATTAGCTGGGAGAGAAAATATGTTGGAGGTGACAATGGTCTAAATGACTGCTTTAGTTGTGTCTATGACTGTTGTATTGGGCTCTATGTGACGAGGTAGTTCTTCCTTTTAAGAGACCGAATATACTCACATGTGCTATACGATTTTCTAAACTGATCTGAACACATTGCACTAGTTTAAAGCACACTGATTCGATGTCATATATGATTTTCTTTTACTGATACGAATGTGGCTATAAAAATAATGCTTCAATGGCACTAGGTTTGGAATGTGTCTTTCTGGATATATGTTACAAATCTGGTAATTGAAATAAGTGTTTCTGCATTTGCTAAACATCATCTTAGAATAA